TCTTCCCACTGATGTTTTTTTAGGACTTCAACTGGTCAGTCTCTAATTGGCATATGCGCATAATGTGCGTATTGCCTCGATATAGCCTAAATTCACAATCATTGTTAACAAAGATGGATAGTGGCTAGCAGTGAAATCTAGGACGCGTGTTTCATTGTATTTGTGACCGGGCAGCTGGATGTATCTACGTCTCAGGGTTGATATTCACCCTGGAACTCGAACACAATAACTTTTGCTTCAAACACCATCGCGTTTTCCACTCAGCTATGTAAGTACATAAGTAAATAAATTATATAATCTATACAAATTTCAAGACCATTCATTTGATTATATCATCATTCAATGTTAACCGGATCACCTTTGATAGAAGGTAAGGTATTTCTTTATTAAAAAATGCCACTATGTCAATCATATTACAACCATTAACTTTGTACCTTCATATGTGTATAGGTTTAATTATCTGTTAAATACTAGACTGATCTTTGAAAGAATTCATCTGATCTATTGATTCAATGATAGTACAAAGATCATCTTGTTTTATATTAATAAAGCAAATTCTAATTGTAAATCAACATTCATTCTCTATTATCTATACAGTTTTAATACTAATCCAAATACTACTGTTATTATCATTATAAGTAGTATTGTTACTCCCTATTGATTGTTACAATGAAATGTAAGTGAATAATATTGATTGAATAGAAAGAATTATTAACTTAGAGGCATTTGATGTTATTAACAATTATGTCTCCCTATTGTTGTGTAGCTGTAAATAATTCCCCTAAATCAATAGCTCTGTAAGTGTTCGACATTGGATGCTGACCACAATAGTTTTAGCGGACTTGTTTAGCTGAAGGTGTTCGGTCATGCATCCGCATCAGATCACGTAACAGCACAGCGTGGGAAACATCTCCTACAATCATTAGCTAGATTAGATCAATCGCTTCTCATTGTATTGATAACGCATCAATTATGTCTTTCTAACCTCTTCATTTCTGACTTCTGATTTTAACTGGGTGGGGCACGATTGGATTATAGAAGATGTTGCTCGTTAATAGTTGTCAAACTACAATACTGGTAGTATCTTCAGTGGTGAGCCCGATGTGATCTGGTACACCAAACAGTAAACTGTGAGTCTGTTCCTTCTTGGAACTTCATAAATCATTGTTTTGCTTTAGTTCACTTTTATATATTGTGATATATTCTTTTTTCGAGTTTTCGGATATATTTGAATTATTTATTCTGCGTTCATTATAATACTTGATTTTTCACAATGAAGGAACAGACATCCAAAGTACTTAAGTTAAAGACTATCTCCCCACCCTCGATTCAGCTAATGCTTGTTCGGCCGGAAAATATCGAAGCCTGTTTCTGCTATTCAGAAACTGACTTCTTCGGACACGGCATTACGGACTCACTCACACAGTTTCTCGCGGTCGTTAAGACACTGCCACGTGAATCCAACAGGTACGTCAAAACTAGTATGTTTACTAGTGATGTTTCGGGATCTTACGAAACTTTAAAACGATCGATTCTTAAACGCGGAGATCAAAGCCACCGGTAAAGGTTGGATCAACTCCTCAATAACATCGACCTCCAACATGGCTCTGCGACAGACATGTTGCTAAGGATGAGAGAAGATATCGGCCAACGAACTTTCGATGATGGCCTATTCAGACAACTTTTCTTGTCTAAACTTCCTCAGCAGGTGCAAGCAGTTCTCGTCTCGACTCAAAACAACGCCGTAGACTAACTGGCTGCATCTGTCGACCGCATCTTAGAAATAAAGAAATCTACTAACGCCGGGGTCTTTTCAGTCAAAGAAAAACCTCAAACAATCAAGAGTGAAACCACCGAATTATCTCATACACTCACATGATATTTTGGATTACGTAATGACCGTAGACGGTCAAGAAAACTGCGGAGAAGTGTTTCATGTAGGCGATCTGTCTCTAGACCACGAGAGACGGATAAACCCAACTGGTGCTGATATCATAACCAGTATGGCAAGTCATCCATAAATTGCAGGAAGCCCTGCGATTACCCGAACTATAAGTCGACCGACACGAATATAAGCTCGGGAAACTTCCTAGTCGGCACGCGTCGACGGTGACCGTAGCCGGCGAACATAGCCGCTTCTTGTATGTCACGGATGTGACAACGAAAGTTCGCTACCTCGTCGACACTGGCGAGGAAGTTAGCGCTCTTCCCGCGAATTCTAACAACAGGCTCCACGAGCCTGTTTTAAGCTTACAGGCGGCAAACAGAAAACCGATTGCTACGTATGGTAAAAGGTACGTCTACCGTAACGTGGGTTTACGCAAACCCATTCAATGGTTTTTCGTGGTGGCAGATATTTCCATGCCAATCATTGGTATAGACATGTTACAATACCACAATCTACTCATCGACACACGCAAACGAAGGTTAATAGATAGTAACACTAAGTTATCTGTTTGTGTAACTCCTCTTTCTGGTTTCAGATTATCCCCCGTCACAATTAAGCACACCATTGACCCCTTATATCAACCGTCACTTGACAAAAACTCCGGGATATATCAATCACAACCGAAATTATCGTTTGTAACCAGCAATGTTACAAATCACATCTCGAGTACAAGACCACCTGTATTCCCGAAAGCACGCCGACCAGCTCCCGAAAAGGTTGAGTTGGCTAAAAACGAATTCGACCACAAGATAGATTTAGGAATAATTGAATCGTCAAATAGCCCATGGTCATCTCCCTTGCCCATGGTCCCTAAAAAGGACAGCAATGATTAGCATCCAACTAGTGATTATCGGCGTCCGAATGCTAAAACCATTCCCGATAGTTACTCGTTGCCTCACATTCACGATTTGACAGCTACCTTGAAAGGTACAACTGCCTTTTCGAAAATCGTTTTAGTTAAAGCTCACAACCAAATATCTATGGCTACTGACGACATTACAGAAACCGCTATCATCACTCCCTTCGGCTTCTTCGAATTTTCGCGAATGCTTTTTGGTCTAAGAAATGCTGCTCAAACTTTCCATAGGTTCCTAGATGACGTCTTACGAGGCCACAGCTTCGTACATGCGTATGTTGACGACTGTCTGATAGCAAGTTCGGACAGAGAATCACATCTCCAGCATCTGGACATTGTTTCCGAACGACTCCTAAGGCATGGCATTACTGTCAAGATTCAAAAACGCCAAATTGGAACCAACTCCTTGGAATTCTTTGGACACAGAACTGATGCTTAAGGCATCCGACCTCTAAGAAACAAAGTGGCGGCCATTCTGGATTACCCAGAAACGACGACGATTAAGCAGTTGCTCACTTTTAACGGCCTTGTAAGTTTCTATAGACGGTTCATACCAAAATCTGCATCCATTCTGAAACCGTTAACCGACTAACTTCGTGGAAATGCGAAATCAATTAATCTAGACGACACTGCGCGAAAAGCATCTCCACAGTTAAGGAACTCATCGTCAAGGCAACTTTGTCAGCACATCAGGACACTCAAGAGCCCATCAGTATGAGAGTAGACACATCTGACACAGCAATGGGTTAACCACACCCGGCAACCTTTGCCGTTTTACTCGAGGCGGTTGCTGGACACTAAATCGAGGTAAAGCACTTTCGGTAGGGAACTCCTAACTATGTATTGTGCTGTACGACATTCCCAACATTCCATCGAAGGAAGAAAATCTACACTTTTACAGATCACAAACCTTCTACCTTCTCTTTAAGCTCATCCTCAGACAAGTACTCACTTCGACCGTCTCGACAACTGGACTGCATTTCGCGGTTTACTTCAGATCTACAACACATTTCTGGAGCAAACAATGTAGTTGCAGACGCCTTGTCTTGTATAACTTCCTTGAACAGTTTCCAAGGGATCGACCTTCTTAAACTCACCCAGCTTCAAAAAGAAGACACTGATCTTCAGCATGAGTTACCTCGATAACTCTTGAACTAAGTATTAAGCAGATAGGAACAGGTAGGGATCGTCCAATCGTACGAAATTATTATCGACGCAACGTCTTCAATATTTTGCACAATCTTTCTCATCTAGGTGTTCGTGCATTCATCAAGCTCATAGCAGAACGGTTCTGCTGGCCTGGTATGAATAAAGACGTGAGGGAGTGGGCACACTTCTGTGTAAGCTGCCTAAAGTCTAAGGTCATTAGACACAACAAATGTCCCTTACACTCTTTCAAAACCCTCGATGCTCGTTTCGACCATCTTCATCTGGATTTAGTAGGACACTTATCCGATTCAAATGGATACTCTTATCTCTTAACCTGCGTGGACCGTTTCACTAGATCGCCAGAAGCAGTACCTTTTAAGGACATTACTGCAGAAACAATGTCTCGCGCCTTTGTCGAACGATGGGTAGCAAATTTCGGCTGCCCTTCAACCATCACTACAGACCGCGGACGCCATTTCGAATCTCGACTTTTCCGTTATCTGACCACACTATTAATAATAACTCGTTTCCGAACGACCGTCTACCACCTACAAGCAAACAGTTTGGTAGAACGCTTTCACCGACCGCTAAAAGCTTCTCTATCAGCTACAAACGTTTCACAGTCGATCGACGCTTTTCCACTGGTCTTACTTGGTATCTGCAATGTAGTGAAAGCTGACATTGGATACACTGCATCTCAACTAGTTTATGGAACGACACGTTTCAGAGTTAATGTCCAACTATTCATCATTGCTTATTGAATTCATTTCATCAGTTTTAATTTCATATTCTTATTAGATGCAGTTAAAAAACATAAAGAAAGTTATTTCACAGAATTGAATAGTAACCAAGTAGGTTATTGATTGATTTATTTGTTTATTTATTCAAATACATCATAACATGAATATCTAGATTAGAATAGAACCAAATCAACAAGTAACTAGTGGTGATTTTTATCTGAAGGTAATTTAATACAACAAAATGAAATGGTATCTAATTTGTAAGGCAGGTGCTATAGCTTTTCCACAAATATCAATAATATGGGGAATGAATCTTCTTGTTATACTAATGTAAGTTCATTTCATTCATTTGGAATTAACGGAACATTTAATTCTATTTATATTAAGTGATGCATTGAAGAAATGGTTACAATCCCAAAACTGGTTTGTTGGACTATGTTTGTAAGTTATTAATTATTTGGTTTAACTATTTCTGTTATATTAAAGGTGTGTATTAAGTAGTAACTATTGAAATAATGATTAGACACATGTACGTTATTGAAAATAAAAGAAAAATGTGCATGTAGTTTATTGATCATCAACGTTGATGATCCTTGTAGAATGATTTAATGAGATGGGAATGATGTGATGAACCAGTTAACGTCGAAGACATACCTCACAGTCAGCATCTAACGTGGATTACCCCTTCGACGTATCATAGTATTATGCTTGCTTCGAAGATCGTATAACACTAAGGATGTTATAATATAAATATATTGGGTTGTTTAACAGAAGTGAATACTAACCAAGTAAGTTACTGATTGATTTGTTTGTTTATTCAATTACATCATAATATGAATATCTAGATTAGAATAGAACCAAATCAACAAGTAACTAGTGGTGATTTTTATCTGAAGGTAATTTAATATAACAAAACAAAATGGTACCTAATTTGTAAGGCAGATGCTATAACTTTTCTACAATTATTAATCATATGGGGAATGAATCTTCTTGTTATACTAATGTAAGTTCATCTCAGTCATTTGGAATTATGGGAACATTTAATCCTATTCATATTAAGTGATGAATTCAAGAAATGGTTACAATCCCAAAACTGGTTTGTTGGACTATGTTTGTAAGTTATTAATTGTCTGGTTTAACTATTTCCATTAGCATAAAAGTGTTGTGTTCTTAAAAAAATTAGTATTCAGAAGCATCTATTGAATTAATGAGTAGACACATGTAAGTTATTGAAAATAAAAGAAAAATGTGAATGTAGTTTATTGATCATCAACGTTGATGATCCTTGTAGAATGATTTAGGGCCTACTCGAGTGAGATGGGAATGATGTGATGAACCAGTTAACGTCGAAGACATACCTCACAGTCAGCATCTAACGTGGATTACCCTTCGACGTATCATAGTATTATGCTTGCTTCGAAGATCGTATAACACTAAGGATGTTATAATATAAATATATTGGGTAGAGTGAGTACAAGCGTCACTGTGACCACCACCACTACCACCAAGTGAACCAGTCAATGCCTTATGATAAACTGATGTGCGTTGATTGTCGGTGACTTTGACAAGGATCGATGACCTGTTCGATATTCAGTGATTTGGCTGTCAGATTATTTGTTTTGAGCTCAGTGATGTCTCACTAGCTCAACATCTTCAAATGTCTAACATAACAGTTAAATGTTTTTATTGCTTTCTAAATTCACTTCTTTAGTAACTGCACTTTCTGGGTAATTGTCATGCTACCCTGTAGTATTAATAATCGAATTCTAGTTTGACTTGATTATTCGCCTGATAATAATTACATTGAAGCGTCCAACTACACGAATGAGATATGTGTGAATCTGAAGTTAAAAAAAAACAACGATTTGTCTAAAGAAAGGTCCTTTATTGTAGAATAAATATGAACTGGTTAAAAGCCTCAACTCCTGACATCTTTATGTGTGGAAGGAGAAAGTTTTCAAGAGCGTAAATGGCAGCTGATAGCTGTGTTTAATGTCAACAACAGTTTTTTGTAGCAGTTGATGGCAATCCAGAAGGTGTTTAGTGTACTGGAGGAATATGCAGATTAACATTACTGAAGAGGGAAAGCGTCAGACGACAACCCAGCAAGTACACAAAATCTACTTACATTAACTACAGAAAGCAGTCAGTAATAGCACAATCCTCACATCATGACAAGTTCGGATTCGAAACAAGAGGCCGATAGTTTAACTCTCTACAATAACAGCAACTCAAATGGCAACTAAGAGTACGTAAAGATGAAAACTGTAATGTTTGAACAAAGACTGAAAACATGCACAGAACTGAGGATGTTACAAGGATTTCTACATATGACACTAAAAATGAAGTTGCATTACATCATGCACTTAGAAATGATCAGAAATAGAACTGATTATTAATAAGTAGCAAAAAAACAACACACAAAATACAAATCAAACAAGTAGAGAGAATAGGAACAGAAAATACAAGCGAACATAACACCTGAATGTATTCCTGCAAGACAGGGATTTCAATGTTGCCGAAATTACGATTGTTTCGGTCGGCATGGTGAAAGGATATAACACGATCATATAGTAATACCTGCTTCATAGTCATCAATTCACCCGAAAACAATTTAGTCAAAATCAGGTTGTTCACATTTGAGACTGGTGAATCCGTTATATAAGATAACCCTTATACATTTCATTCAATGGATAACTATCAAAATCTCTACACGATTTAGCCATATCTATTCAACTATCGTTCGATCTGTAAAATATCAGTCATTATTTTTGCATCAGTCTGAACTTTATTTTCAATCTATATTTGCTTTGTATTACTACAGCTTTTCAGGACTCTATGTTGATTTGGAGATGGTTCTCGTACCACAAGTACAATTTAAATTTCCATGGAACTACATACTATTGGTATTTAATGTAAGTAGATAAGAACGATACTTGAGAATATTGATCATTATCACCATTATATGATTCGATGTCACAATATATTTCGATAGTATATATTAAGATTAATTCTCTTTTAATACAGACTAAATGACTGGTTAACTAACTACACAATTCATCCTAATTAGTTGAGTCAGTGAAGAATGTTTAGGTTATCCTTTTATTAGCTTCTAGAATTTTCCATGTTGAATTATGTAAAGTTGATATCTCATTCTGAAAACTTAAATGGCTTCATGAAATTGACTTTGTAGCTGATGTCGGGTATTTGGATAAATTCAGAATGAAACCTTGAACATAAGTGTTTTTAATAGTTGATACTAGTGAATACACCACATGCATTATATTGACGACTATCTGGTAGTACGACACTTAGTTCTAGACCTTCCTGTTAGTCGCATACAACCATCAAAGCATACTGACTGCAACACAATGATTCGTCATTTAGATTAGTACACACATTGTAGATTCGATCCCGACCGTTGCCGCTACCTTGACGTGGTGTTAGAGGTTGCCTATCGTGATGAATCAATCGAGCTATACTGGATGGAACAATCGTTCCTCAAGGTTCTACCATGCCAGACAGGTCGGTTGAAGAGCGGTAAGACTACAAGCAGCAATCCCAAGATCCGAAGGCGAAGTCGTACTGCCGACTGTACGGAGGTGTGACGGCAGGTAAGGTGTTTCGTTCAGACAACCAGCATAACAGCAATGCTGCCTTCCCACAAGGAGGGGTGAGGTTAGAAAAGGTCGACTCACGGGTTGCCGTCTCCGACGGTAAGGCCCTTCGAACAACGGAGCTAACACGTCAAAACCCCCCCACAAAAAAACCGTTCGTGACCGACCGCAAGCAGTTGTCTTTTGGGCACTGCGATCATTCTCCCAGGTCTTTAAGACCAACACTAATCGAAGTCCCTTTTCAGGTCCCTCAAGAAACACCCTTCCACGGTGTGGGCAGCTGGGAAGTGATATTTGCTCTCATACCCGTAACTGCACACGAGACCAAGTTGGTCACATTCAAATCTTTCTTACACCTAATAACTCTTATCTCCACGACTAACCCTTCTCACGTCTTTTTATCACCTCTCACCGCTACGGTAAACTATTCAAGTACGTGGAACGTCATTCCTGGTCTCCTGAAACAACGCTCTGAACTACATGTAGGAACTTTTAATGTCCCAAAATTGTGCCGAATAGGACAACAGGCCTCCCTAGCTAGGACTTTAAAATCTCGCACCATCGATATGTGCAGCGTCTCCGAAACGCGCATACAAGATCCGAGTAGAGTCATTCATTTGACTTCACCATATCAAAATAAAGAACCATCTCGATACACGCTTCGTGTATCTAGAAGCCCTGATGCTGCTTCTCATGGCCTCACTAGAGTAGGTATAGCATTAAGTCGTAGGGCAGAACTAGCTCTTTTAAACTGGATCCCAGTAGACAGTCTTCTATGCGCTGTCCGACTAAACGGATCAGTAAGGACTCGGAAAGACAGAGAAACTCGTCGTTGCCTCTTCGTCGTCTCGGCCTACTCTCCCACTGACTGCAGCTCAGACGATATAAAAGATCAGTTGTACAGAAAACTTTCCGACCTTCTCCGAAAAGCTTAGCGTTCTGATGTAGTAATAGTGGCAGGTGACTTTATTGCTCAAGTAGGTAAATTAATTGAAAGGGAAAGACACATGGGTGGATCTTACGGTGTCGTGGCTCAAAGAACAGATAATGGCAACCGTATGTTGCAGCTATGGTCAGATAACCGCCTATTTCTTGCAAATACTAACTTTAAGCATAGAAAAACATCTTTTGACATGGTGACCCCCGAATTCGTCCCAACGTTGGACCCAATGAGATCAATTAGGCTCGATAGAAGGAAACCTCTTAGGGTTTTACCTACCGATAAGCAAGCTAAGAAGATATTTCAGGAACAACTGGAAAAACAGTTAGGCAACCATGTAAGTTGTGTTTACCATGGGGCAGCGTGGAATGACACCCGAAAAGCAGTGGAAACAGCAGTGATATCCGCTGGTAAGGTAAACCATAAGGTAAGGGAGAAACAATGGATCTCGGCAGTGTCCACCGCACTGATAGATGCTCGAAAACGCATCCCATCTGTCTCTGAACATAATGAAGAACGGAGTCAGCTTAAGCGCAGGCTAATAAGAAGCCTACACAATGATCGTGAACAGTGGTGGGTGTCGAAAGCAAGTTTGGTGAAGACGCTGACAAAATGCTCAGTCTTCTGACCACTTTAAGCAACAATGCAGGCATGATCGGTATGCGATTCTCTCCCTCGAATTGCAAAATGTTACTTCAGGATCGGGTTGCATCGACACCTGATCTAATGATAGGGAGTGAAGTAGTTGAGCGTGTTGACCGCTTCACTTATCCTGGGAGTCTCATCAGCCCTTTTGGTGTGGTGTGTGCCGAAATCTCAGTACGGATACAGGAGGCTCGTCTAGCTTTTGCCAACTTGTGTCATTTATGATGTGGGCGAGATATTCGTCTAGCAACAAAAGGACGGGTTTACTGTGCAGAAGTTTGTTCCGTCCTACTTACGAAATCCATTTTCATCCAAATGTTATAAAATATCAACCCAGCTGAGTAATTTTCTACAGCGAAAAATGTAACTTCTGTAACAATTTGATCTTGCCTGTAAACCGGCATGCCTCATGTAACAAACTGCTATTTGAGAATAAATTATAATTATTACTACTTTATGGCAGTGAAACATGGCCGATAAGAGTAGAGGATATTTGTAGGCTACTAGTATTCGATCATAGGTGTCTTCGAAGCATTGCTCGTATATCCTGGGACCACCGGGTAAGTAATGTAGTTGTTATGAAATGGGTACTAGGTAACGATGGCAAATCGATTGATGAATTAATGAAACTTCATCAGTTGAGATGGCTGAGACACGTGTTACATATGCTCAACCAGCGACTGCCCAATGGCGAAGGTGTATCCACTCTTTGTGTCCTACCAAATTATGATCTTCTGAATTCTTCATGTCCCGATCCCTTTTCTCTTTTCAAATTTATTTCACTAGACTATATTCCTTGAATAACATCTTCAAACTCTAATCTTTCGGATTACTGCTTAAACTTTTACTATCAACACAACTATGGGATTTGAATCGACAACTGCATATCTGTGCTAATGTAGTATGGCAACTCGTACGTACGTACGAAGTTCTACGTTGTGACTGACTAACTGTAAGTTCGATGAAATGTTTCATTCAGCCACCTTCGAATCGACTCTTCATACTTCTATAATTGATTATCGTGATTCATTGAAGTAATCCGATATATAAATTTGTCAACCAATGCTCACCCATATCTTGGTCCAATATATTTCTCAATTACTAACATTCAAATAAATGTAGAGTAACAATCAACACAGTAAAACATTTGAAAGTTGCATTTTCCACTTTATTGTCGATTCCCATTGTCGGGCCAGTGAAATGTCACTGATCTCTAGTCAAATCATTTGGCAGTTGATTAATGGGATATCAAACAAATCGTCGATCCCTATCAAAGTCACGGATAACCAGCGCACATAAGTTAATCGTACGGCATGGACTGATTCATGTGGTGATAGTGGTGGTCACAATGTCGCCTGTACCTACTCTTACTAATTTATTTCTATAAAAACGTCCTCAGTGTTATGCCATCTTCAAAGCAAACGTAATACTTTGGTAAGTCGAAGGGGCTACCCGCATTTAATTATTTGTTTGAACACATAAATATTAGTACAAAGAGGCACCAGATACATATGTTACCTCAGGATACTGGAGCCCATCTACACCATTGGTTTGAAATCATGGTTTTCCTAATCGCCTATGTGAACGCACCGTGTCCACCAACACAGTTAAAGCAACAGATATTCGATTTTCGTTCTCTCAATTAAGTAGAGGTCCCGCACTTAACGAGAAGGCACTGAGTAAGACTTTCCTGGCAGAGGCTATATTCTCTTGGCCATGTGAGAGCATTCCGAGAGGGAGAGCGGACACTCACCACTGAGGGCATTTGACGACTGTGAGGTGTGTTTTCGATGTCAACTGATTCGTTACACAATTCTCGCCTCATTCAACTAGGCCCTGAATCATTCGAGAGAGATAATCTTTACTCGTGATCTACACCATACTGTCAAATATTACTACATATTTGTTACATTTAACCACATAATTAATGATTATTTGGAAGACAGATGATCTGTTACGTTGATTCTCATTTTATCTATTTATTTTATTTGATAGTCGATGATTATCTCGATCCCAGCTTCAAGGCCACTTTCTGAATTGAGAATGGTATGGATTTCAAGTAGTTGGGTTATTACATTGGGAATTATATTACTGACTACAATATTCGGCGGATTAAAACGATTCGATATACAAAGATCTTTCAATATATTCTTCATAGTAATACTCACTTTACAAGCAGTAGTTTATATCGTTCTCATTGTATTGAATCATTTTATTTGCTATAGCGTGAGATTTTGATTATTGAATAATTTTATAGTTTAAACAATCTTTGTTGGTATTCAACTTATAGTGGATAAATCAGTAAGATATTGTGTTATGGAGTTTGATATCTAACAAATAGATGTTAAAGACTTTACGCTCAATAGCTCAAGGTTCATTTCTTTCTTTCTTTCCTATTCATAACAAACATCAATATCATTCCTTCACAATTGTTTGTTGGTAGGCTAGCCGTTCTGAAAACACGAACATCTTCATGATATTTTCTAGCTACTATCAATGTCTGTCTGTAAATGCGATTGACACTGAAGCGGTAGAATGAATACAAGTGACGTTGACCGAACAAAAAACACCATATCAACAGATAAATTTGTTGACTGTTTTCCTGGATCACTAGTTAGATGCTCTCAGATTTGCAGTGATTATTCAGTTAATGTTAGTCATCAACATTTATTGTCTTTGAATTTATTTTACCTACGAATGTCACCCCCAATGAAGCATAGATGGCCAACTAGCATTCTCCAACACCATCTGTTCTGGGCCTTCCTTTCTAGTCCTTTCCAATTGTTGTTCATTCTTCTCATGCATGTCTCTATTTCTCACAGTAATATGTTCTTTGGTCTTCCTCTTTTCAATTGACTCTCAGGGTTCCATGTGAAAGCTTGCATTGTGACACAGTTGGGTGATTACCTCAATATGTGTCCTATCCACTTTCAGCACTTCTCCAAGATTTATTCCTCCACTGGAATCTAGTTTGTTCTCTCCCACAGTAGATTGTTGTTGATAGTGTCTAGTCAACGGATCCGAAGTATTTTGCGTACACAACTGTTAATAAACAGTTGTATCTTCTGGATGATGGCTTTCGTTGTTCTGTTGTTGTTCTGTTGAACAACAACCTGTTGGAAACGTTTCCTGACACTGAGAGAAGAGTGATGCCTCTAGTTGTCACTGAATAGTAAGATTAAATCAGCACTTGTTCATTCAAACAACTTTCATTTTGTATAATAAAAGTTGTTATTATTGTTACTATTAAATAGGCAATCTTGATTATTTCTGGATTTGGAATGCTACTGACAATCATCTACGTAAGTAATTCAGAAGTATAACTCAAATTGTTGTTATTACATTTCATGGTTGATAATTGTAGTGTCGTTGATATGATCAATTGAAAATTGTTTACCTCTAAATATGGACCCACTGAACGATCGTCTTCACTTCCTATGTTATGATGAGTTTAATACATTTAAGATATACTGTCCACCAGTGTTTCGTTCTGTCTAGAAGTCATGATCAGTTTGAGTCTGAGTTCGGTTAAGATGAGATATGTGCGCAAGATTTCTCTACCAGCTTCTATCCAAAATACATTAAGGATTTAGATATTCTTCATACCTTTGCTCCTCGTCAAAGATTAAGTACTTATCATTGTAAATTCTATTCCTAGTATTTCTCATTAAATATCACCACTGTTTTGAGCAGTTGTTTGTTTGAAGATACACTAATCAGTTACAGTAGAGTGACTGGTACTTAGTCATCGTATCGTCAGGGTCACGTTTTCAAGGTCTCCACTTACATGGAACTTAACACTGTATTGGCCATTAATTAGTGACGAATGATTAATGTATTAATGTTGAAACCCATATTTGTTGAAGCTTCTGAGTAAATGTGCTAATGTAAAAACGTGAAGGCATTTTTAAATTATACTATGTACATGTTATTCACAATCGAGTGATCTCAATTGGATTAACGTGAAAACTCTCACCTACAGAATGCTTTTAAATGAATTACACAATTATTATGTGAACTTTGTCATGATGAGTAGAATGTACTTGTGTACTGTCATCTGATGTACTGACGGAAGATATGGGGAAAGGAAAATTGATGTGAGATATTGAAAACTTGACAAATACAATGGTGAAGTAGGTGAGTTAATTATCAACAGAGGTGGGCTAATAAGAACACACACATTCACTCTTAAATTGCTGACTGAAATTCCACAGAATGCTTTTGCACAAATCATTTTCACATGATAAAGTTAGCAACCTAAAGGTTTTCTAGCTTTAAAATCTCCATAAAACACTTTTCTGATCATAATATTTTGTGTTTAGTCATAGCCGTGATTGCAATTGACAGTAACACACAAGTTGAACGATGGTTATACACATAGTTTTCGATGATTGAAGTAAAAGCATGTTACTGATCAATATGTACATTGATTTCAGGAATCGGCAATTGCAACTGAAGCAATTTTTCCAGGTGATAAACGATTCGGTTTTCGAGATGATCAATATTTTCTATTTGGATTAGTACTTGCAACAATAATTGTTTGGATGAATATGATCATTTCAAGTGAAATATCACTTATATGCACTGTATTCAATAAAACAAGCCATTGTATTTCAGAGGAACAAATGGATATGTAAATGTCTATACACACTGATTGATTATTGTCCACGAGTGTTATGTTTTATTATGTGAAACTGTTATTGGGATCACAAGATAATTTACATTTAATTTGCAATGCTAAAAATTGTAACCAAAATTGCTTTTTTCCTATGTGATTCATTGAATGAATTTTCTCATATACATCTATAAGTGATGCTCCTATTGTTGCATATAGGACGTTGAACTATTTCGTTTCATTCTGCTTGTTCTATCATGAATACAATGTTCTTATAATTTGTCTTTTCTCTGTGTCATGGTGTTATACGTTAGTATTCGATTGCCCGCTTATTAGGAATTCTAAATATAATACGCTCATTTTCGCTCATCTAGTTGTCTTAAATTGCACTTTTTCGGGAATTCCTAGTTAGTACTGTTACAACCTCTACTTGATTAACGCAAACTTCGACATCAACCTAACGGCACGCGTACGAATTGAACCCTCACAGTTGCAAATCAGAACACAGAAAAGCAGTAGAAATGATTATTGGGTATGAATAAAAAATAAACAGAGAAACATGGGTATTTATATACATTAGCGGTAGTTATAACATCATTATAGTCCGGCTAATTCGCGAAGAGGTAATTTATGCTACCGTCCAATACTATCATGACGCGTTGATATTCTAGGAAGCCTCATCAGATTCCTATACTTCTTCAGGGCCTCTGGAGACTGCGTCATGCCACACCTCCACAGGAAAATATTCTCGCCTTGAGTTCACTTGCAGCCCCACAACTGGTTTATTTGTTGCTGTCTTTATTGTCCAAGTCCTCAATCTTATGTTTTTTCAGCTATTCTCACCCTTATGTGTCGTCGATGTATCTGTGATTAACTCTGATGAAAGACTCACCTGGTTATCTCTGATGTCCATCATTCTTTCATCTTTGTGGATTTGGTTTGTACGTCTGATACATATCCCAGAAGTTTTATCGAACTCTGTACAAAACTTTTCACATAACTTGTACAATTGTTCCCACTACTCATCAATTCTCCCCTAGGTATGGCTTGACGAACACTTTATCGCTAACACGAAATCTTTGGATATGTGGATCTCATCTGTAGGCATCAACTATTTTAGATGGCAACATATTGTTGGAAATAGTGTGAATACGTTTTCAAAACTTGACTTCGGGGGGAGAATTCCCACCTGGGACAATAGGGTTTGAAGTATTTTTGTAGTTAAGAATTTCGTGATTACCTGAATATTTGTCCTATCATCCCCCACTTCAGTAATGCCTCTTAAAAGGTGTCGACAAAAAGGAGACTGTAGATGCGTTATTCCATTTATACTACAAAAATGATTGAATGAGTCCGAAGTGAATAGTGAACCATTTGTAGGCACTAAGGTCTCTGAGACTCCAAAACAACTAAACAAAGTAAACAAATTGTTGACTGTTTATGAGGCTATGCAGCTAGGATTACTATATGCTTCCGGCCATTTCATAAATGCACCCACAATAGCCAGAAACATTTGACGTTGGATTGGATCAGTGAAATCTGTGTGAAGTCTCTTCTAGAGTCCATCAGGCTTAGGCCACTGCTGTGATTCGCATTTCGAAGTGCTTTCAGTTCCTTGCAGACGTGATGAACAGTTATTACATTTGTTCTCGGTATCTCTGTCCTTTGAGGGCCGATACAGGTAACTTCAATCAAACGATTTAATAATAATTATACTCAAATAACAGTTTGTTACATGTGGCATGCCGGTTTACAAGCAAGATCAAATTGTTAAAGAAGTTACAATTTTTACTGTAGAAAATTACTCAGCTGGGTTGATATTTCATGAGATATGAATGTAGATGGATTTCGTAAGAAATATGTCAATATCACACTTGGCACACTTTATGAAGGTAGCGTTGCAACATACAACTGATGGTCGAGAATAGATACATGCGAAGTTGGAGGATTTTAGAAGCCTCAACCTTACATCCCCTCGGAATATCTGAGGCTTTAATAACGGTGTCGGACGAAGTCATCCTTGCCATATCTGTTTTCGGTGGTGTATCTCCAGGGGGCTGAAAAAAGTGGAAGAAAAAGGAAGGAAGAAAGCAGAGCACACATTATTAATGGAGGAATAGTTAAGGTATAGCCATTTAGTCTATTTGTCCGTTACTGAAGTCCTTATTAGGTAAGAGCATACTAATGTGTTAAAGAAAAATTAGTTTGAGAAAGGTCTGAGTGGATAAGGAACTGTACAAATGAAGGTAGTTCAGAAAGAAGTATGGAATTATGTATAATTATAAAATAAAGTGCTGAAAACAGTATCCCGATATAAATGGCTGTCTCCCTTTTTTTCGAAGTAGTTTGAACCTATTTTTTTGTTTTTAGATTTCGTAAGGTATGGAGTGGGCTTCGTTTCTAACCAATTGTCTAGTTTGCTTGTAATAAAATTACTCGGTAGGAAGTGGAACCAGTTCACATTTTTAACATGATTTAAAGAAATATTTTGCATGTATAATTTTGCATCAATACCGTTGTTTCATGACATCCCACTAGACATAAGTAGCTGTAAATTAACATGTTCTGCCCTACAGACACGGGTGGATTGATCCCAAGGTGATAATTGAAATCGAAGTCTTCAAGATTTCCTAGATGAGCATAACAGTATAAGACCACTCTGTTGGGACTCAAAAGTCAACCATTTCCAATTCAACCAATTTGTATGGATCATTCAGTGCCACCGGTGATTATTGTCTCAATGAGGACTTGCGCAATTCAATCGGTCAACGCTCTTCACTACAACTTCAAGAAGTTCATCTGGAAATTAGTCACTATGGTGTACGTAGTTATTTCAGTGATCAAAATAAACTATCAAACTAAATAATTTGTAAAACAGTTGGAAAATGTTATGAAGTGACCGTGATGATGAACTGACTGATGTGGGAAACTGTTGGGACGGACCTCAGAATACTGTAAAGTGTCCTAAAACATTCCATTTGAGCATAACCCGATACAACTTTCTGGAACATCGTCGTAGCCTTCTTCGATTGGACAATTATATCAACTTGCTACTTCTTACTTGCGGATTGGCCACATTATTACAGCCTTTATCAAAAAATTGTGAATGCACCTGTTTCCCTACACATTTTTGAGTCTGATCTCAACGAACACTTCTGCTTTCTTCTATCTCTTCGATTTGCGACTGTGGGTTCTACGCATTCAAGTGCCGAGATCATATCCAGTGTCATCCCATAATCAAGTAGAGTACTTAACATTGGCAACAGAGTGTAACATTTACAATGCCAATTACTCTTGAACAATTAGAATCTTTACTAAAACGTCAACATGAACGGCATGATCATTTCCGAATTCGTATCCTGGAAACTCAAACGAAGCAAACGACTCTTAACCACTAAGGGATTATTAAAGAATCATGTAAATCACATACCGATTCCATTATCAATTCTGTTGATAAATTTCATTTCGACTGTAAGTCTGGTATTACATTCGAATCCTGGTTCAAGAAACATGAAGATTGGTTCAGGGTCGACCTCAACAAAATTGATGATTCCGCTAAGGTCAGAATACTTCAAGGAAAACTTGTCACGGTTGAACGTAAATGTCACAGTAGCCTCATTCTTCCGAAGAACCAAAAAGTTTTTCTTCTGATGCAAAAACTGATTTCCTGTCTCATATCTATAGTGAAATATCATCCTTGTTCAATGTTCGCTATTTGTGCCTCAAGATAACATAAGCCAGTGATGATGACTGGGAAGAACATGAAAGTCTAGTGAACCGTGAACGTTGGCATTTTAAACGATCAGATGTGAATGAAGGTCAGTTTTAGTGTCCTGTGTTCGTATGCAGCCTGAAGGATGGACCTCAGGGATACAACGGAGTATATTTAGATCGGTGGCGAAAACCCACTGTCACAAATCCGATAGTCGAGACTTCTTGTTCATTGCTTCCAATCATCCTAATATTAAGTAGTTACTGATCACATTACACATTAGTAGATGCGATTCGATTAGCATTAGTGGGTTTATAACATAACATTAGATACAGCTCAGTAATCAAACAGTATAATGTTACACATAGTCCATATAATGTCTGTAAATTTTACTATTTACTTGTGAGTTTCAACCTGTCATCGCTTTACAGGTGACTTGTAGGAAACTTTGTCTGACCTTGAAATTTTTGATAACTGTTTTTTGGTGCCGTTTTGTATTTCTAGATGTAGATGATTCAGTGACGACGTTTTCAACAGTATTCTGAGCAACGGCACTCCTAAACATAATGTATTTTACACTCTCGAAGAAAATGACTGTTATATCTTGAACTCAGATTCTTAGAATGTCGCGTAATACTTGAATGAATACTCGAACGCTAGTACCCTCCCAATTCGCAAAATCAGAAGACAGAAGGCAAGTAGATGTAGTGTTGTTCAAAACAGTGTCAATTATGGTACAATACTGTCAGGTATTTATAGTTTTTAGTAGAAACGAAATCGTCATTACAGTTATCCCATTCGCTCACATGGGTTTATTATTGTTGCGTTTGCCGTTACAGCACCATTAGAAACAATGCATGGTACTTCTCCAACAATATTAAACTTCACACCAGATACACTGTGGGTCTCTCAATCTTCCTTCACGTTTGTGGGCTGATTAAAGTGACACCAGATGCTGTGTCAAGTTGAAGACGAGCACGATGTTTATTGCTATCCAACGTTACATACTTTCTTCGGCGGTAAATTCGTGCACGGTTATATGATATCAATATTTTGTTAGTTAATGCACCAGACCGGTTTTTCTTGAAGTATAATTTCGAAGAATGTCATTAATGGTTTCTTCTTCTGCAGTTTGTTACTTTATGCCGCATGCGATGACATTTTCTGCAGCAATGTTATTTATACGGGCAGAACCTCTTATAGTGTCAATCTCCACATGACTAGTATGGAGATCGGGGATTGTTGTCTGTGAGCAATACTTTTCTTGTGCAGAAATCCTTC